ATGCTAAGATTGAGTGCATTCAGTGCCTTTGGCCGATTCAAGTGTCAGAACCCGTTTTCGATCCTTCTTTTTCGACTATTATCTCGGATGGTGCGGTACTCATTCCCATTTGACACAAGTTCTGCAAATTATCATTTCAGACAGTTTACTTTCGCACGTGTACCAAGTCTGAAAAATCGATGCTCCACTTTTGCTGCAAAGAGAAATCAGCCCAAAAATGAGCAGTTAACGACATGTGAGAGGCTAGAACGTTTCCTATCCATCCTCTGCTATGTTTATGGGAATCACTAAGCCGCGCCATCGTTATCTCCAAGACATGGAGTGTAGCATCTGTATTACCTCCGAGTTGCGACAAGTAGGTGTCGCATTTCGGAGGACGTACACAACTTCGCATCAGGACCCAACCAAGCTAACGTAGCAGAGATGTGGCACGGTCTGCCTGGTCAACTATACACGAAACACTGTTTTGCCGTGCATGCTGCTGCGACTCGTAAGTCACGCTCCACGCTAGTAGCACAGATAATCCTCCGACCTCGAATCCGGTCCTTCTTAAGAAACAAAAAGCTGTGAAAACTCTTGGAACTCCACCCTTTCTCCAAGTCTGAAGCTGGTTGAAATTTTGTTTATAATGTCTACTGAAGGCTATGACCAAGGTTCGTCACTCATCAATCAACGTTCATTCCGAGTTTTCGAGAGCGATCTTGAACCGAAATCTTGAACGAACACCCTACTATGTCCACGAAGCAGAGGTCGAGAGTGGCATGGCCGCGGAAAAAACAACAGATAACGACGACAGCCGTCTGCTGATATCGTGAACACCCATAAGAAGGCAGTGTTTTCCACAGTGGTTGTTGGAACGACTGCCTCCGAGGAAAGCTGCAGATCGCCGGGCCACTACTGTAGATCGCTACGTAAGCTGCAGAAAAAGGCCAGTTGAAACAATCAAAGCGTCGAATAATTTGAAAAAAGGAGGCTGTAGTCCATACGGGGAAAGGGGAAAGGGGCATATGGTAGAACCTACATATGACTACAATGAAAACCCTTCACTTTCGCTTTAAAGCGTGATCCTTGTTAGAAACCTGACAAAAACGTATCGCTCCTTCTAGTGACAGACAAGACCGACACTTGAAATTCAGTCCGATGCATCGATAGATAGATGATATTCAACGGCGAAAACACATCGAACCGCAACAACAGCGACTAACTACTCTTCGAAATAGGTTCTCTGGAAATTAAGATGGCTCCCTACAAGGTGGGTTCACACTGCTACACCGAAACGAGCGATGGGCCGTACATGCTACTCTGCAATTATGTCGTTTATAGTGAAATGCAATCGTGATCACTGCTCTTTCGGGTTGGTTTCGAACCAGGTTGCGTAACAGATTCTGACGCGACCCGGGTAAGTGTCTGGATATCGCGAAATACCTTGATATCGTCGCAGCCAGTCGGGGTGGTTTCAGCAAGGGTTGAATGAGCCCACTCGGGCTTTCCCACCACTGGTTGTTTCTCCGTATCCGATCATTCATTAGTGGAACAAGAACAGCAGGAGGCGACACAATTTTTCGCCCCCCCCCCCCCCCTGAAACGCTCTGGTGTGATGCGAGTTATCAAATATCATCAAGTGAAATCCACATCTTACCAAAAACTTGGTGTAGTAAACACATCAGCTGTACTGTTTATTGCTAAAAGAATAGGAACGAAAAGAGCTCCGAAAGACCTTCAAATCTGTCAGTCTTATCGACTTCAGATCCAAAATGTAGAGACTGGCAAAATAAAGCTCTCGGCAGTTTTCAAATCGTTTTACCCAAAACGGTGATTATCCCAGGTGTTATGAGAATATACTTTTCGCAAGTAATACTGGCAACTTTGTTAGATATACTATTAAGGCGCTTGAAAGTTCAAAAACGTCATGTGCTCTAGCTTTTACCTGCAGAGGCAATCTGGGAAACCGCCGAAGAATCGATGCAGGGAGCATCTGAAATGAAGAGTTTCCGTTAACTTTGACTATAACCGGCCGCATTTATTAAGAGACAAGATCGAAAATAGTCAATAGTATAATAGTAACAGTTCATAATAACAGTGATGACTAGACAACGAAACGGAAGGAGTAAGAAAAACCACTGAAAGCATATTGACGTAAAGAATGCTCAAGAGAATGAACCGAAACAAGAAAGAAGTGCGAAAGTGCTCCATGAAAAAAAAGCTGCAATTGTGTGCTAACTTTGAGCCACTGAATAAAAAGGGGAAAGAATTCACAAAGTGCATTGTTAATTCTTACGCCTAAATGGTGTAAGTCGCAGCTGCAGACAACACACCAACTGACGAAATTGGATTCGAATTTGGATTTCGTGTGAACTACACTGAAAAAGTTTGTGGCTTCGTGAGGTTTGATCATTCAATCACGAGCACCTATTGGAATAAAGTGAGTTTCGTAAGGCTCGGCCGGGTCATTGTAAGGTATCCAACTAGGGCCCTAGGAAATTTCTTTTGATTTTTATTTGGGTTTTGTAAGTTGTCCGGATAAGTTCTTTAACGACGCCTGCTGGTTGTTTCTATATGTTATTCTCAACAAACTCCCTGCAAATGTGTTCTGGCAGCACAATGCTTTTTGGGGACCTTGATATTGTTTCTTCGCAGCAATTCCAATGTCTCCCTTATATAGGCAATGGAAGCTGATTCCACGGTTTCTTTCAAAGCACCTTCGCTTCATGGACCGAAGCCACACGTACCACTCGGGGACAATGCTCCATTGAAAGTCGAAGCGGCGGACAAAATTCCAGAAAACTTTCATGGTAAGGTTCCCGTCTCATTCATTGTATAACTCCTTTGCGAGACTTCAGACAGGCACAGTTTTCTAAAGCTACACAAATCTGCATGAAAATGCACTTCTTGAAAAAGCTAGTTTGTAAAGGGTGTTCCAGTCAGATTTTAGTTCAGTGATAGAGGAATTCTTTCTGCTTAAAGCTGTAACCCAGTTCGGAGACCTTCACTCGGTTTACCATTGAGGTGACAAAAGTCTCCATCCCAGTGCGGTGTCTTGAAAATTTATCATGGCCTGCTCTTGCCACCAAGATGGCTCTACTTTATGAAGACTCCTCTTATCAATTGAGTAAGGTCTGGAAGGCACGCTCATATTTGTATGTTCACATACCCTTCGGAACAGGGTGATCCTGTTTTGCAAGCATGGGGGGCACTGCTCCCGCGGCTCAAGAACTGCTGAGGACGCGAAGCCACGCTCCGCCTATGGCCGCTCATAACTCCCAACTTCCATTGCTAAAGGATTCCTGGTGCTGCGATTGTTTGTTACTAGCTCTCTCGATTCCAAATAGTGAAAATGAGGTGATTAGCAGAAAGAGCTGATAACGGCAAGCGAGAACTCCTCCGACCACGCCCTCTCTTCGCTTTTGCTCGAGAATGAGTGACTGGGTTTTTCTGCTTTTTCTTTCTTTTTTGTGTTATTTACCATCTTTTCATTAGTCTGAAGCCGCACAACTAACCATTTTCGAATGCATGCCTTTGAAAATGCTGTTCATAAGGTGCTATTCCGGTAAGTTATTTTGGTTCATAGTTCAGAAAACTTCTTTTACCAAAGGTGTGAGCCCAGCTCGAAAGCTCTATCGCCCCAAAATTGAGGATAAGCCTTTGTCACCTATGCCGTCTCTTGAGTTCAAATTTATTGTCTGCTCTGCTCAAATGTGCTTCACTTGTTGGAATAGCGCCTCATGCTATCAGAATTAAAGGCACTTCCCGCGACCACACTTCATAGGTAATACAGTTCAAAAATAGATTGCCCTGTGGTTGTTGACTTATTGAAGGGAAGGAACCACGAAAAAGCGCCCGCAATAAGACCCTCTTTATTTCAATTGATCATGATCACCGGACGAGCGTAAGGTGGTCAAGATCGATTGTGGATGGCAAAAGGCGGCGAGACACTGATAAGAGACGAGAGAGGCCAGAAAACGACGAGCGAGAGAGAGAGCACAATGGCAATGTCACAACGACACGATCACCGGAGGCTGGCATGGGCCTATCGGGCGCCAATGGGCCTAAAAGCTGAACGCGCCGCGTTTTCGCTTGCTGTTTTTCAACTTTTGTAAGCAGCATAGCCTCTGACGTTGCCTGCTTGACCGTCGGGCACGGTTATGAGAACCTAGCCCTAGTTTATCGCGGAACGTGCCTTTAAGGCTCTGTAATTAATCTCTGAAGTACCTCTAGCTGCTCGGCAAACATGCATGTGCACAAGTGGAGCATAATTAGTTTTTGCTCATAAGAAAGGAAGTTTCCGCTGAATCAGTCAGGATATATTAACTTTCAGCCTGATGAAGGACCGCATTCGCCATGTGAATCCGAAGGGAAGATGTCAATCGTTCATCCAGAGCTCCATTATACCCCACCTCCATGGGCTTCTGTGCCTGAGCCTGGTCAAGGTTACAAGTTGGAGGTATATTCAGAAGTTTCACAAATAGGTTTAAATATCTTTTCTACGCATGTTGATGACGTTCGATTTATTTTTTGTTCGCTCTTTCTTTTCTATTGGACGCCCAGCCCGGTTCCCCAAAAACCGTCGATCTTGGGCTAAGGGGAAGAGCGAAGGGGTATAGAACGAAAATCCAGCCCTTCTAACTGTCAGAAATCGTACAATCTCTGAATGATCCAGATTATAGAACATTAACGGACCTAAAGAGCCGGGTAGTCTAATTATATGAGTGGCCTAAAACGTGGAATATCTCATTAGTCGAAATGTTTGGAGCCAGACGAGGCCCTCTTTTTGGCCGTCAAATAAGACCTTTTCGACTACATGATGAGCATTGTCGTACGCGAGTATCAACAGTTTAGGTTGTAAAAAAGCGGGACCATTGTTGGTTGTTTCGATTTGGATGTCAGAAAACACAGCACCTTTGTTGTGATCGGACGTCTGCTAAACTGTGATATAGTACTCGGTAAGCGCTTTCAAGTGTCGATTATTGAACTGTTGTTTAACCGCGTAGTCGAGAGTTTACTGAATGCTGGACGGATAGACAAGATCTCATGACCCTTTGATATGAACCATCAGCTGAAGACGGGTAACGAGGTGGCGCCGACGGAAGCGCACTCGCGCCACGTAAGTTTGAGGTGAAAAGTTCTAGGTCGAAGCCCTCACTTTCATGGCTGGTATTCTTGTGGTTTTCGCATCCACACCGGTCTGAGGGCTTCGGGAGATAGGCCAGAAATAGATGGTATACGCCTCCTCGATTTTCCAGTTTGATTAGTATACAGGGGGGGGGTGTGGAAAAACTATTTGACCGAGTCACATATCAGCAAAGTTTGTCGCAGCCCAGTACAGAGGACGGAGGTACTTATGGATAAGTACTAGCGGCGGATAGTACCGAAGATAGCTCCTTCTATATAGCAGGAGCCTGGCGGCCTCGCCCATCAAGGCCTTCATGTACCCAAAATACTGACAAAGTCATCTCCAGTCGCAGCCCTGACTAAGAGAGACCTTTTTGAATTCATGTCACCGGTCCAACAGCTGCGGAACTTCTAAGTATGGAGTCACCGCCGCATGATAGCTACCTGGAGAATACAGTACTCTGGCGATCTGGGATGACCTCCAACATCGAGCAACTCCGACAACGTCGCTACGGTCCAGGATATCATCTTCACCTCAGTCGCCAAGGCGCCAGTTGATGGTGGGGACCGGACGTACCTGGAATGGAGAGACCTATATTTCTTCTTCCGGTTGGCCGCCGGACTGAAGCTCAGCGCTGGCGGTTACATCGAGCAACTCGAGAACTCCTCTCCACATGTCGTCGCCCGTACCTTCTTGGAAACTTTGTACTGCTACAGGATTGGGTGACACCACATGGAATCAAAGGGCGTTGGGAAAACTCTTGCCTACTTGGAATGGAAGGGCGTTGAGTACCTGAAGAAGGTGGAATATTCAAGCAGGTCATCTGACCCAAACCCCTCAATTACCTGGTTTCGGGCGGAGTATAGGGTGGTTTATAGTGGCGGAGAAATCAACGATCACGCTGTACTCAGGCACCCACTCACGGTCGCGTGGCAGAATCTTCCTATGGCGCTCCTCCAGAAGGCTGTGGCGGAGTATCGGAATAGTATTTGATATGCTCTTCAATATGGTAGTAGAAGTGCCCGATAAGAATTTAAGACGTATAAGTTGTTAGCGCCTCGAAAATAGCGAAGACAAAAAAAGTTTTTTTTTGGCCCCTCCCCCGTGTACTTTTCTTTGAGTAGGTTCTCCGACTTGTCTAGCTCTCGAAATTCCGCGATTTTCAGCTTCTTCACTGTTGCGAAATGTTAAGCGGCCTAATCCTGCGTCAGATGTTTCTTCTAACTTCGCGATGGATCAAACGCGATCAGCTTCGCTCGAGCGTTAGAGCTACGAGGGGGGGGATCAACGCCATTGCCACAGATCAGTTAGGCTGCGTTCATGCAGTGTATCGAACGCTTCGATCAGAAATTCTCTTTTGGCTTAGTCTGCAGATTGGCGACTTGATCGCGAAGTATGTATGTATGCGCGCATACCTAACTGATTGTGGAGCGGCAGGAAGGCAGCCGAATTCTGAACTGGACATTGATGGAGCAGAGCACCGCATAGCTGCATATTTCAACTCTCGTTGTTTGGAAAGGAAATAAATGCGCGCCGCACTTGAATACGTTTCATTTGTTTTGCTTCTGCGATGTTCTTATTTAACTAACATACGTATATCTTTTTTGCCTTTGAAGCAACTGCGCACTAATTTTTAGATCACCCTTCGATTTCACGCTATCATTGTATTCTACAATATGGTGACGATCCGATGGACCGCAAGGGTAAAGGATGGCACATCTACGATATGGGTAGTACTCATGGTAGCAAGGCGAATAAAAAGAAAGTACCGGCCAAGCAGTACATGCGTATTATGGTTGGGTTCGTACTGCAGTTTGGAGGTTCATTACGGTTTTCTGTTTCTCTTACTGCCTGTGCTGTGGTGCCTTCTTTCTCATGCTTCCAAATAACATTGCAATGGTCTCAAGGCGAGTACGCGACTATCTTTCAGTATGCTTGGGCATCGGATGACTTGTGGAAGCTAAATGGTGAAGTGCTTCGCCAACTGAAATGAAAGAAAAGTGCATCAAAAAGGTAGGTGAATCCTCGGATTGTCTCCTTTATAAAAGTTGAAATCATAATCAGAGCCAGCCATGTTCAGATCCTGGAATCTAAGTTGGCACAAGTAGCCCGAAAGGAGTTTGAGGCAGAAAAGGCGAAAGACGCTGAATCAGAAGGAATAGACTGGGGCATGGGATTTGACGAAGATGATACACCGGCCGTAGAGGTGAGATTTTAGGGTTATTGATTGTTTTCTGTAGCCTGAATTCAGTGGGGCTCTGTTTCCATGTGTTCCATCGAGCCTAACCTTTATATACACCCTTATTTAGCTGGACATGGATGGTCACTTGATGGAGGATCGCGAGCAGTATTACCAGCGGATCCTAAAAAAGCACTCTCAAAGTTTTTCGAACGTGAAGGTTTCGATATGAATTTCCAGTTCTCAGAGCAAGGTTCAGGACATACGCACAAATGGTTATGTACCATTGAGTGAGTTCTCGGAATTTCTAGGTTGAAGACAATTTCGAGGATTTCCGACATTCACAGATGACATCTCCGAAGTGTACAGTTCTATGGTGGAATGAGCAGTGAGAAGAGAACCTGCCTTGCTTAAAACTAGAAGTTTAAACTACAGCTAGGAGGTGGAGGGGGAGGGCGATTTTTGATGGACTTTCTAGTAAGCGTACTGTGGCCCTTCTCGGCCTTCCTATACTGGATTAGTCTTAAAGCTGTGCTTTATGGGGCGCAACGGCGCGCTGAGTCAAGTGCTGCATAAATTCTGCTCCACTGAGCCGCATTCCTTGACGCTACTCCTTCCTGAACCTCTGGGGGAGGGGAGGGGTTGTTTTACTGTTGCTAGTTATGTTCTTATTGCAATGTGTTAGGTGTTACAGGCAAAAGAAGGCATCGTACAAACAACATAATTCAGGCTTCCCATCGAAATCAATGGTGTCGATCGTACCTATACGGCACAAGCGATAGTTTCAACCTCGAAAAAGGACGCCCAAGTACAATGCGCCTTGGAGGCGTGTCGAATCCTCGATAGTCACGGAGTTCTTAGGTATCGTTCTAACGACTTAGTTTGTTTTCTTGAAACATATTACCATGACTCGTAGCGGTTTTATTTAGATCATCAAGTTCTAAGGCCAGGACAAAGAGAAACGAGTTGGAAGAGAATGATTTCTATGACGAAGATGATGACGAGTATCTTGATCGGACAGGTCAAATTGAAAAGCAGAGAGAAAAGCGCATGATGTGGGCCAAGGTATGAGGTTAACTTGAGTAGATTTTACATTTTACGTGTCTTGTAAGTAACATGGGATTACTTCTTAGTCAAGTACACTCGAGATTGGAAAAAACGTTCATTGGCTGGCTGTTTTTTCCTTGAGTCCGTTGATTCATGAGCTAGTCGGTCCAGTGTCTCACATCTCTACGATGACCTTAAACGACATTTCTCTCATCATGTAAACATTAGAGAGATGAAAACACCGTATCTT